TCTATTTGCCATGTGAAGCCCTTCACAGTGAGGCTCCAGGTTACCTTTCTTGCTTGATTTCACACTATTCCTCCACATCCATTCTAAGGTTCAGCCAAATTGGCTTACTTGCTATTCTTTGAATATGACAATCTATTTTCCCCCTTTGTCTTTTTTCTGCATAGGTTGCCCCAATCCATGATATGCTTTCCCTACTGACCTCTGTCTCTTAAAACTTAGGGCCCTTCAGATTTAGTTCAAGTGCCACTTTCTAGAAAAGGCCTTTATCTCTCTAGTTGTGGTTGTCTAGCTCACATCTACCATTAATCTTATGGGGATTAATAGCAATAGATCTTGTAAAGAAATGTGGGTATGGCATTAAGACAATAATCCAAACCTGAACTTTGCTCCATTTTCTGGCTTCTTGCCTCCATTTTCATCTAAGATTTACAACACATCCCACTTAACTCTCTCCTGTCTTATCTCCTTCCTCCCTCCCCAAAAGGCTTAACTCCATCTCTGATCTTAGAAGCAGTACTTCTCCTAAGATATGAAGAGAAGTGAGCCAACATCGGTACTATGGAAAGACCACCATCCCTGGTGTCAAGGAACCTGGGTTCAAACCCCACCCTGGGCATGTCACATGCATTCCTGGGCCTCAGCTTGCTTATCTATTAAGATGAGGAAGTTGGGCCAGATGGCCTTTTATATCCCTTCCAACTCTAGATCTATGATGCTTTGATCTTGTATCTAGGTTACTCTTACCCAGCTCTCTTATTAACAAGCCTTTGCCTTATGCCAAGTGAGCGGCAGAACTCTGCCTGGGATTCTGATGCTGCCTTGTCTCTTTTCCAACTGTTTCAGGAGTTGAAGATCTGATTCTGAGTCCTAGACTGGCTGGGCCAGGGCTTTCTTCCAAATTCCTGATGCTTCCTACTCACCTGCCTCGAGTTCCTTGCATTATCTGCTTCAGTGGATTTTTTCTGGTGTTCAGGCCCTGGTTATGATGGGGTGCTTGGGTGCTTGTACTCGGACCTCACTTCCAAGATCATATTTCTCCCTAGCCTCAAAACACTATTCCTGACAATTTTATCCCCAGCCCAAAGATCCTATCTCTGGCAATAACTCATGAGTGGGCCCAGTAGGCAAACTATCTCTCCTTGATATAAGAACAAGCTGACCTCTGTAGAATTTCCCTTGTACTGTCTTGTATCAACAAAATTATCATGTACTGATTCCCACAGTTATCGTGTATGATCCAGAGGTTGAGTTATAGACATCAACTCTCGAAGCTGTCTTGTTACAGATATAACAGACCAAAAATATACCCCTTAAGAAGCCTCCTCTCTGGTTTCTAGTAGTGAATGACATCCGTGACCAAGGTTGTATGTTATCACCTAATTAGCATACTTGGTACATAATCCACCACTTTTCCTATATAAGCTTTAGCATCATTCCTGTTAGGTTGCAGAATTCTCTAAGGAGCTCTGCCCACCATATTAGCATTATAATGAACCTTTGCCAACTTGACTTAAATAATGCTTATATCCATGAATTCATTCCAGATGACCGTGTCCTAGACTTTGGTCCTGGGGGGAGGGGGTTCCTGAACCTCCCAAAAGCACATCAGTTATTCCCAGGCCTGCCCACCAATGAATAAGCGTCAGCTATTAGCAGGTTGTGAAAAATGGAAAGAAATTTTTTCAAAGAAGAGCTAACTCTAGACTAGACTGGCTAGAATTGAATTGAAAGAATAGAATTGAAATAAATATTTTACTTAGCCTAATCAAAATAATAGATGTTCTTTATCCACTTGGTCTTTCCTGTGTGGATTAACAGGTTAAACTCCATTGAGTAATTATAAATCTCTCCCTGGAGAATTTGATTTTTTACTGTCATTTGTATGTCATTTGAAAACAAGTACATCTGATAGACTTCACCATCAATTTATCTTCTATCACTGTGGTGAAAACCTTTGATGAGTATCTCTCTTTATACTTTGCCTAATGTGCATTATCAGAGTTATTGAACAGGGTTACTTCTGCCATTATATATTCCAAGGAACTCAGAATGATCTTGATATGTGGGTGGGAGAACTCTGCTCTAGAAGATAAGCAAGGGAATCTTTTATTCTATCTAATTAAGTAGTTTGTGTTCCTCTGTGATCAACAAATGATAAGCACAATGGAATCTCAATGTTCTAGTCTTTTACTTGTGAGATAGTAAATGTGACCCATTGTTGAATATTGCTTCAGAAAGTCTGCTCATTCCCTACTAATGCTGATCCCAGAGGCCCGCAATTCATGCATAGATGACTTTCATAAAGATTTGTGTAGATGTGAGAGTAGACGTATAGGTTGGTAATTATTGATGTTAGATTTCAACATGCATTTAGACGGACACAATGTTCTGCTGGTAAGTATTTAACAACTGGTTTTCTGAAGAAAAAAAGTATGCATGATACACTTTTAAGTTTAGTGTATATTACTAATATTTTATGCATCATTTTTGATAAACCACAACAAAAAAAATCAAGCTCTGATTTGTCGCATTTGCTGATTTCCAACATGTAAATGCTCACACTGAAAATTTAATAATTGACTCTTGAGAGCTGGTGTTAGCCAACTCCAGCATATACCCCTGGATGAACACATTACAGAATTTGTCCAACTGTATGTAATCTGGGAAAGATAGCATAGCTGGAAAATGATCTGGGCCCAGACTTACAACAGCTAGGTAGTAAGGTTTATACAATTGACATTGGACTTGGAGTCAGAAAAACCTGAGTTCCAATCTTGCCTTAGTCATTTATTAGCTATGTGAATCATTTAAACTCTTGTGGCCTCAGCTTCCTCATCTGTAAAATGGATATAATAGCACCTACCTAGCAGGGTTGTTTTGAGGATCAAATAACATATGCAAAGTGCTTAACAAACCTCAGAGTGGTATATAAATGCTAGCTATTACAATTAAAGGGAGGAGAGTAGCTGATTTGCTTCTGTAAACTGCAAGGATTTTTGAAAAAATGACTCCAAGCTTCTCATTAAAGCAAAGACCCATATTTTCACTGCTACGATCTTACTAGTGTTGCTATATGGTAATGTAATTACACTGCCTTTGAAGAATTAATAACTATTATACAGAGAGTGATGGAGAGGCACATGGTGGGTGGGAGCAGGCTGCGATATATAACCAACAAGGAAGTCTGAAGGATGGCATTGAGGAATTGTATGAAAGGAAAAGAGTGACTGGTCATCTTCTGGCAGGAGTGATGGATGACAGGTGGACAGCTAGGGTGATCCACTGGTACTTTTTGATAATGAGAAACAAGGGTGACTTCTAGCACACTGGTTGCACCTCCTGTGGTGAATTTTTGGGAAAACATGGATAAATCACACATAATGGGCAGACATGGACAGATGGAGATTGGCATTGTTGGAAGGCATTCCTGAGTCATTGGGAGCCCAGATCTGTTTGAATATAATCAAGACAGTGTTAAGAGAAAGTCTGACAGGGATAAACATAGCTTCTGAAGAGGTATGAAGACTTATAAGACTTTAGAGTAATTCTGAGGGAGACTTTTGATGTGATGGAAATAAGGAAAGACTTATAGTTTTTTAGGTAGTATTTCATTATCATTTACCTGGTGATCTCTTGGGGCTAATTGTGATCTGTTATTAATCTGTAGTATTTCCTAACTATTCCATGAAGTCTCCATGTGGTCAGGGACCACATCTTACCTAATCTCTGTATCTTCTCCAGCACCTGGCACGGACACGGTGCCAAACACTCTGTACGCAATAATATTTAATGTTTATTTGCATAAAGTATTCTTAATCAGTTCATTTACCTGCCAATTTATCATTTTCAAATTTTATATGTTTTTTACTTTTCTCTGTACACGTTCATTTTTTGGTATAAGAAACTGAACTTGTTTTATACAACTTCTAAAAGATAGATATTAAATTTAACTAAGTAGTAACAAAAGTGTTCTATTCATGTACGTACCCCCCTTTTCCTTCTGTGCATTTTAAGAAATGTTTTATTAAAGCTTAATAAATGCTTGTTTTCTTCCTTCCTCCAGCACTGGAGCCATGAGCTACCCCTCTTTGCAGATCATCTGACTTCGGACCCCATATCCTTCCCACTGTACAATGCAGCCTCCCAAGATAGGAAGAACAAGTGATGTTCAGCTTGGTGAGAAACAGCATAAAGTGTGGACCAGGTTGGGGCACAGGGCTTTTTAAAAGAGGAGGGATGATGGAAAGGGGGAACCTTGGATGTTTTCTCCTCTAGCTACTTAGATCTGCTAAGAGACATGGGCTGGTTATACTCTCTCAAAGCCCTGTACCCCCTCTGATTCTGAGAAATAGTTTATCAGTTAGGACTCAAATGATTTTTTATTTCACAGTTTTTAAATTTTCTTATTTTTCTATTTTTTTCATTTCTTAGTTTTGCTTCCTTAATTCTGCCAACTCCTTGAGGACCCAGTTTGTTTTATATGCAAGGACTAAGTTTCAGTCTCTTAAAAGAAAAATTCCTGTCCATGACATCACTGAAAAAATGCCCGTAGGAATGAACAAGTAGGAGTTCTGACAATTATTTTTCTATTTCTTCAATGAATTACTATCACTATTATTTTCTTTTATGAATCTCTTTGAGCTGGTATGAAAACATTTGTCTTCCCTAAGCAACATTTTAGAGAAAGGGGAGTAATTTCTATGTAAAGATCAACTGTTACATAAAAACGTTTTCTACAAAGATACATACTTATGAATTGGACAGACTGTTCTGGTCATTCATTTAGCACAGGTAGATTCTATGCTTTATGTGTTCCTACTTCGTGTAGCATTAGGAGTTCAGGATTGGGGAATCTCTACTTGTATTAGCCTTTTCTTGGCAGGCCAAGGTCCCCTGCTCATCATCAGAGAACATTTGTTTGTACCTGTACAGTACCCCATAGATATACCAATGGCAAGCTCCATACCAGGTTAAATGATTAAGAAATACCATTGCACATAGTAGGTGCTCAGTAAATATTTGTTGATTGAAAAATAACACAGTCAATTCTATTTTGGCCCAATATGTACATTTAGTGTCCTTTTAAAATTCTGCAACATCTAAACAATGTTGTCTGAGTTAATACAGATTTTCTGGTCTTAGAACTCATCCTCTGACTCTGCATCCCAGCTACAAGACTGTAGCTGCGCATCCTGTGGGAATTCTATTTCAATGTCATAGACAAACTCTGGGTCATCCTTCTTCTTCTGATTCTTCTTAAAGAGCTCGTCCATGATGCTCTTCCTTTTTGCAAGTTCCTTATCATCCAATTTGTTCAGGTCCTCCTCAGGATCAATGGTTGTTTCCCGCTGAATTTGTTGCATAGTTTGGTCCAAGGTTTGCCCCCTTAGAAAACCTTTTAAAAAAGTGAATAACTTCTCCAACTGCTTCAGAGACACCCCCTCAAGGTAGACCTTGTGTCTTGGGTTATACTTTAGCTGTTCAGCAGCTCTACTGCAATCTGAAAAAATGAAAAAGTTATGTACACTGTCAGTGACAGAGGACAGAAAAAAATCCTTAACTTGTAAGTAGCCTCATCAAATAGGTTGTCAGTGTGGCACTCACATGCCTACTCTGCCTCACTTCAATTCATGCACAAATCAAGACATCACCTGCGGTCCTCTTCAAAAACAGAGGATGGGGCAGCTAGGTGGCACATTGGATAGAGTTCCAGCCTTGGAGTCAGGAGGACCTGATTTCAAATTCAGCCTCAGGCACCTGATACTTAACTAGCTGTGTGACCCTGGGCAAGTCACTTAACCCTGACTGCCTCACCAGTTGTGCTCACCCTGGTGTCCTGGGTCTGCTGGCTTCTTTGGGAGCTCTCTCTCTCTTTTCCCTGTGTAGATTACTGGGAGGATGCAGGTCTATACTGGGAGGATGCAGGTCTAACATGAACAGCTGACTAAGAAAGGACACTGGCCTCTACATCCTAGAATCTATTTCCAATTCATTCAATACAGAATTGGCCCTAAAGATGCCAAACCTTAGATGCTCTTCTTCTCATACCCTTTAAATACGGTCCACAATGGAAGTAGTGCTGGCACATTCCAGGTACTGATGGTCTCCAAGGAGAAGACCATGAATGATTTGTTCATTCTTTGCATATAGCTGGGGTCTATAGGATAGCAAGCCTCACCTGTTTTATTTCACTTTCGGTTTTCTCTGCATCTTCAGAGAGAGGCAGGCTGATGGGCAGCAGTCATTTATTAAGCACTTACTGTGTCCAGGCACCGTGCTAAGTGCTTGGGGATAAAAATACAGGCAAAAAAAAAAAGACAGTCCCAGCCATCATGGAACTCACATTTTAACGGGGGAAGATGCACAAAAGGGAGCTGACAAGGAAAGAGGAGCTTCCAAAAAAAAGCCTGTTCTGAGGAGCAGCAGAACTGTTCAGGCCTGGCTTACCTCTAAATCAGAGGCTCTTAACTGGGGTCCTTGGACCCAGAGGTCAGGGGGTTTGTGAACTTGGGTGGGAAAAAATTATATGTTTATTTTCATTAGTCTTTAACTTAAATTTAGCATTTCCTTCAATTATGAATTTAAAAAAAACAGCAACAACAAAACATGATTCCAAGAATGGGTGCACAGACTTCACCAGACTGCCTGAAGTATCTATGATAGAGCCTCCCTGCGCTAAATACTGGGATCAAACTCCATCTTTTCTACTACATTAATACTTGTTTTCACTTCCGGTTGTAGCAAAGCTGTATAAAGGGAATCATGCAACACAGTGCAGAAAGAAAGTGCTAGTTTTGGAGTTAGAGGCCCTCAGTTCAAATCCTGGCACTACCCTATGACCTTGGGCAGGTCTTTAACCTTGCCCATAAAATGAGAGGACTGGACTAGATGACCTCTGAGGTCCTTTCTAGCTCTACATACATGATCTTATAATCCCAGGGATCTGTCCCTAGACACCTTTCCCTAACCCAGGGAAGTAGAGAGGCTGCATTATGCAGTGAAAGGAATATTAGACCTGAAGCCAGAAGTTTAGGTTTGAGTCCTCGCTCTAACACACACTTACTACCTGTGTGACCTTTGGCCAGTGACTTGACCTCTCTAAACTCCAGTTCCCTCACCTATAAACCAGAGATAATGATACTTGTACTGTCTAGGTCAGGAGAGTATACTCTAAGCTCTATGGCATTAAAGAAATATTTGCTATTATTACCAGGTGTGTAAGATCAGAGAGCTGAATAGTTTCATCTTTAGATGTTCCATAATGAGTGGCATGATTGGTGTTCAATACATTTTTATTGTTGGACGAGTGTCCAACTTTTCTCCTTCTGTTAGTGACAAAATTGAGTCATTTAGAAGGCAGGGGCTAAGTACTCATTTTAGCTGGTTCAAAGCACAGAGGAAAAGTACCCCTAAGAATTTATAATTCTGCTATGATGGTTGTGTGGGAAGGCAGGAATTAATAACACTTCATTTCCAAAAATTTGGATCTCCATGGTTTGAAGTATGAGAAATCAAAATCAAGGTGAATGTTGGGGCATGCATTATTCATTAAATTTTGGATTTGCAAGTTGTTTGGAATTTTTGGTTCTACTGCTAAAATTTTCCTAAGAAAAATGTAAGTTTGATTTTGGTCAGGACTGATTGAAGGAAGGTGGGATGCTTAGTCTTGATGAGAAATGATCACTTTCTTCAAATATGTGGAGAGATTAGATTTTTTCCCCCCTTGGCCTCAGAAGGAAGAACTAGAATCAATAGAAATTCGTTGCAGGGAAGGAGATTTCAACCTATTATGGGAAAAAGCTTATTTTTGGACAAAAATGGAATTAACTAAGCTTCCTGTGAGAAGAAATCTTTATACAGAGGTTGGATCATTACTTGCAGGGGATCTTATGGAAGAGATTCATGACTTAGGCGCCTTTTGGACTAGAGGTCTCCTGACGTCCATTTCAGCTCTCAAGACTTTATACTAGCAGAGGTGAGTTAGAGTAGGGTAAGATAAAACATTTGATACCTGAAAACTTGGAAAAGTTTCGGATCGGCATGATACGCTGGCGATTTTTGTCCTCGGCTTCCCCTTGATAGATCAAGACAATGGCTGGAGGCTGGAATCTAATGCCACACTTCTTGGCAGTGTACATCACTCTAATTCACAGCGGCTGGGCAAATCAGAAGGCACCTGATGGAAGCATTCTAGCTAGTTGCATGATGATTCCCTGATAAAGGAAAAGAACATATTTCAATTCCATTTTCTATTTAAGTGTCTGATGTTCCTCATCCTTCCTCACTTCCCGCCTTCAAAGGCTAGTTCTAAGGTTGCAGGAAATTGAAGAGAATTACTATTTCTTCTCGGAGTCCAGAAAATTTAATGGGGGCGTGTGTAGTTCATCTACAGGTCTGTTCAGAGAATTCTTGGAGCATGATGTATCACCCCCTAGGTTGGATCTGAATTCCTGGATCAACTCTACTTACCTAACCTCCCAGAGGGGTAACACTGATTTATTCAGGAAATATTTAGAGAGGTAGTATGCCTTAAAGGAGAAGAGTCAGGAAGACCTGGGCTGTGTGATCACAGGCAAGCCACAAACTCTCTGAGCCCAAGCATTCTAATGTGTAAAGTGAAGATAATATAACTTCATAGGAATTTTTGTGAGACTCATATAAGATAACTGTCTAGGAGTGCTAGGCTGGCCAGCCCCATCTGTCCAGCAATGCCCAGCAGCATTAGGGCTGGTTGAGGTTACATGTCCAGTATTGTCCAGGAACAGCAGGACGGCCAGCCCCACCTGCCTAGCAGTGTTTGGCAGCATAAGACTGACTGACTAAATGTCCAGCATTGCCTAGGAGCTCTAGGATGGTTGGCCCCACCTGTCCAGCAGTGTCCAGCAGTATAGGGCTAGCTGAGCCAAAAGTCCAGCACTACCTAGGAGCTCTAGGATGGCCAGCCCCACCTGCCCAGCAGTGTCCAGCAGTATAGGACTAGCTGAGCCGAAAGTCCAGCACTGCCTAGGAGCTCTAGGATGGCCGGTCCCACCTGCCCAGCAGTGTCCAGCAGCATAGGACTAGCTGAGCCAAAAGTCCAGCACTACCTAGGAGCTCTAGGATGGCCAGCCCCACCTGCCCAGCAGTGTCCAGCAGTATAGGACTAGCTGAGCCAAAAGTCCAGCACTGCCTAGGAGCTCTAGGATGGCCGTCCCACCTGCCCAGCAGTGTCCAGCAGCATAGGACTAGCTGAGCTAAAAGTCCAGCACTGCCTAGGAGCTCTAGGATGGCCGGTCCCACCTGCCCAGCAGTGTCCAGCAGTATAGGACTAGCTGAGCTAAAAGTCCAGCACTGCCTAGGCGCTCTAGGATGGCCGGTCCCACCTGCCCAGATGTGTCCAGCAGTATAGGACTAGCTGAGCTAAAAGTCCAGTACTGCCTAGGCGCTCTAGGATGGCTGGTCCCACCTGCCCAGATGTGTCCAGCAGCATGCGGCTGCATGTCCAGGGTTGCCAGCAGGGCCATCCTTACGTGTCCGGCCGGGCTGCGGGTCCATCATCGTCCAGGACCACTAGCCCAGCCAGCCCCACGAGGAAGGCCCGTGCCCGGAGAAGGAGAGCGAGAGCGGGCACTGAGAGAGGCCGAGCCGGGCTCAGCCTCCTGGCCGCACGAGGCATCGGGATGGGAGCGGGGCATCCTGGCCCGGGGCTACCTGGGTCTCCCAGGACGAGGTGAAAGAGGTCACAGCAGCTGGCCCAGGACGGCTGCGGCTGCGCTCCGGCTCCAGGCCGCTGAGCCATCACCAGGGGAACACTACGTCACCCAAGGCCCCGCCCCGGCTAACTGAGGAGGCGGCCTCAAAGAGGGAGGGGTGGAGCGGGGCCTAACGGGGATGGGAGAGGCGTTGGGGGAAGAAGCTGGGAAGGGGGAGGAGAGGCGGGGCGTCAGAGGGAGGGGGGAATGCCAGGGAGGGGCAGGGAGTAGGAGAGAGGAGGAGGGGAGGGGTGGAGCAGAGAGGAAAGAAGGGAAGGGAGAGGCAAGGAGTAGGAGAGGAGGGGCTTAGGGGGAAGGGGGCGGGGCATAGAAGAGACGGGGAAAGGAGGGGGGGAGAAACTGGAGTAGTGTCGGATCCAGAACACTTCACTGTCTGTAGCGCTTTAAAAGTTTTGAGGGGGTGGGGTGGGGTGGGGGAGGTTGTTTCCTCAGAGCCGTCCACAGTGAGATAATGTAAGCATCATTAGCCCCCATTTTACAGGAAACGGGCTGAGAGAGCCCAGGGCCACAGCCTCTCCCTCCGCCCACGAGTCCAGCACTTGGTTCTGCCACACCTCATTCATCTCTTCTGTGGGAAGGGGGACGGGGCAGCAAGATCTAGCCTAACCTCCTCATTTTACAGATGAGGAAACCAAGGCCCTGACAGGTTGAGCAAGAGGAATGGGTAGGGGAAGGGAGTACAGGAAGGAGTTTGCTACACTAGGCCAAATGTCACGGCGGCGGATGCAAGGGGGTGAGGAAAGGAGAGACGGGAAGTGTTCGAGGGAAATGCGCACGCGCATTCCTTCGGCCATCTCCCCAGGAGCCTGCGTCTCTTGCAGAGCTCGCGCAGCGGAGGCGGGGGAGGGGCACGGCCAGGGTGTTCCTTCGGCGTTCCACCGCGCATGCTCCCACCTTTCCACTTTGTCGCGTGTTCCTGCGGGTTTGCCAGGCTCAGGCGCCCTGGCTCCCCTGGTCGGGGCCTGGCTCTTGGCGTGGGGGGCGACCGTGCTTCTCAGCTGCGCCGCAGTCAGCCATTCGGGTAAAGGGAAGGCAGGGGGAGGCCACGGGGAGCGCCAGGCTTGGTTTCTGGGCCCAGGATCGCGGACACCCAGAGTAGTTACCAAAATGGGGATGAGAAGGGAGATTTAAAGGCCAGCAGCGTGAGTCCCCCCGTGCGCAGGGTGCAGGCAGGAGCGGCCAGTCTGGGCGGAGTCCGGAGAGCAGAGAAACTGACCCCTTGCGGGCTTGGAGCTCTTGCCCCGAGCTTAATTCAGCCCGACTGTCCTCTGCTGGGAAGGAAAAATGCAGTTCCTCCAGCCTGGGAGAAACTGATGTTTTCCCTTTTCTTTTAAACACCAGAAAAAGAGCGTTCCCATGCACACAATACAACACAAAACATGAATCTCCATTTCCCATCAATTGCTTTTTTTTTTTTAGGGTACATAATCAAGTCTACGCATTACTCTCATAACCCGAGCTAATTTTTCAAGTCTAGGATATAGCACTATCATAAAGCAATGTCACGCCAAGGGCAAGGGGGGTGGTGTGGTGTGTGGAGCATCTTCAGACGTAACCTTAAGAACGAACTGGTCCATCAGTTTGGGCGGAGACCCAGCATTCTCAAAAAAGCAGTAACAACCCTTTTTCTTTTCCTCACTCCATTCAGGGAATGAATACGTGAAGGCTGCGAAATAATTAATGGCTTGAGGGTTTTTTTAAATGCTATAAATAATACTGTTAATGTTTGCGTGACCGGAAAACAGGGATTTGAAATGTTTGCAGGAGGCAGGAACTAATTCTGAGTTCTAATTCGAACTTGCTAGTGAGGAAATTTGGCAATTTAGACTCCAATGTTAAGTGATTGGACTTAAATGTTTTCGTTGGCAGTGACGTCTATTTTTCTCCCAGAGTCTTGAAATCATTATTTCTGTGGAAATCTTTGTGTAGTATTGGAAGCTTGGACTTGGTACAGTGGAGTTTACTGAGTACGGTTCTCTGTAGAGTGCGCTCCTAGTAAAATGTAATTGCCTTAAAGAAAAGCACTGTTTTAATATCCGTTTTGAATGTACTTTTGCTTTAAGCCAGTATAATGTAGTAAAGTCTAGATTTACATAAAAGAAATTAGGGGTACTTAGATATTTAAAAAGATTCACAATAGCAAGCTGTGAACAGGGAGCTTTCCCAAAGCATTTAAAAATGTTAATATTTACAAAATTTGATTTTCATTTCAACAGCTTTAAAGAATTTGTCATTCATTCAGTAAACTCACTTGTGTGCAGAGTATTGGGGTAGCTAAGGATGTCTTAGTGGATAGGGGCTTGGAGTCAGGAAGACCAGAGTTAAAATATGACCTCAGATACTTACTAGCTGTGTGACCCTGGCATGTCATTTAACCTTGTTTACTTAGTTCCTGGTCTGTAAAATGAGCTACAGAAGGAAATGGCAAACCACTCCAGTATCTCTGCCAAGAAAATCCCAAATGGGGTCTTGTAGGGTGGAAATGATCGAATAACAACATGCAGAATATTGTGCCATGGAGCTTTGTTGTCTCCTTAAATACCATTTTACCAGATTGCTTGTTACTCTTAGATTTATGTATTTGTAGTTCATATTTTAAAAACATCTTTTTTTTATTCCCTCCAACATAACATGTAGACTACTTCTATTTTATAGATATGGAGGCTGACATAGAGAAATTGCCAGTGTTCTCACAGGAGGTTGCTGTGCCCTAGAATTAGAATGAAGACCATCTGGGTCTTTGGTCATGCCTTCATTTGACTGTCTTGGGCTTGGTGGAATTAAATGGATTTTCATACGATTCTCTTTAAGTAAATATGAAATTGCCCTAATTTAAAAAAACAAAACAAAACAAATCAAAACACATTATTTTAAAAAATTCAATTAAGTCAGATTTCCCAGAGAAGTCAATACAGAATTTGTTGCAGCTTCCTTAAGCATATTTTTTTTCAGGTCTTATTAAATATATGTGGGGAATCTGCTTTTTTTTTTTAGTGAGGGTAATAGGGGTTAAATGACTTGCCCAGAGTCGGGAATCTACTTCGTTGGTTTCATAAAAGGTCTCTCAATTGTTTTTAGGCAAGGATACCAATTGTTCAGAGATTATCCTGATACAAGAAATTGTGAAAGATGGTTTTCATAGGTAAGTTTTTTTAATAAATTGGTGGCCACTTGTTTCACAACGTTGTTCTAGAATTGAGTAGAACAGTTTGCTAGAGGGGAAAAAGTGGTTTGTAAGGCAGTCAGAACCCATGTGGATACCTGGAATCAGGAAGACCTGTGTTCAAATCTGGCCTTGGACTCTTGTGAGCTGTGTGACTCCCAGCCGTCACTTAACTTCTACTTCTCTCAATTTCTTCATCTATAAAATGGGCATAATTCTAGTACCTATCTCCTAGGGTTGTGTAAGGATCAAATGAGATAATATTGTAAAGCACTTTGCAAACCTTAAAGTGCTATAAAAATGCTAGCTTTTGTTACAATTTTGTTACAATTATCCATTTGAAGAAATATTATGAAGCAGTTTTTATGTAGCATATAAAAATCAAGCTTTGCAGAAAAAAAATGAGAAATTATCTTGGATGGGTCACCTGATAATGGGAAGAGGTAGACGTTTGGGGTTAAGAGGAAAGACGTAGGATGTGTTGTAACTAAAAAGTAGGTGGAATTGAGGGGAACGCAGGTGAAGTATCTGGGGAATTTGGATAGAGCTATAGTCACAATTTGACTGTTAAGTGAAAAGTCCATCAAAAGAACTCATCAAAATAACTTTTCTAAAATTAGTACAGCTTAATTTTGATAACATGTTGCATAATATATGGGAACTAAATAAAGAGTATTTATTTTAAGTTTATTTTTCTTTCAGAGACTTGCTGATAAGAGTGAAACTTGGCACAAACATTGAAAATTCACAGACCTGCAATGTTTTGATTAAATATCACCTTCCAATGGGATTATATGTGGACCCATATGAATTGGCTTCATTACAAGAACACAATGTGACAGAGGTATAATTAATAAATAAAGTTTGGGTGTGATTATTAGGTTGTTTGTTCTTTGAGCATTTTTAATCAGAGAATATGAAACTTGTAGAGAAAAGTAACAATCAGCCGGGAGATGTCTTAATTATTTGTGCATTTTATTAGCCATATCTTGAAAATGTTTCAAGATTAAGATCAGAATAATATATGTCAAAATGTGTGGCACTTGTCAGGAATAATAATAACTAACCATTACCTAGTACTTTAAGATTTACAAAGTGCTTTCTTCATAACAGCTCAGAGTAAGATTGTACACAAGTTTTACTACCCTCATTTAACATGGAGTAGTTAAGGAGGAAGAAAGGAAACAAGCAATAAGTGCTTATTATATGCCAGATAGTGATACAAATACAAGCAAAAAAAATGACAGTTCACGTTCTAATGGCTGAAGAAAACACACCAAAAAAGAGCTGGAAAGAAGGGGATGGAATGTACCTGTAAAGGAAGGGGGGAGGCCTGGTTTTAGAGTACTGAGAAAGCTGGATCAGGGGAAGAGCTTAGAGGGGAATAAAAGCTGACTAGCCCTTCGATGAAAAAGAGGCTCCAGGAGGAATTCACCTATGGTGGCCCTTGTGGAGGGTCTTACTTGGAGGAATCAGCTAGGCTACTCCAGGATGAAGAGGCCTGGTAACTGAGGGAAGTTTCAGGAGGAGCTGCCATTGAGGGGGTTTTGAAATCTAGAGAAACAGGAACAGGGCAGGGAGGGAAAGGAGAATTAAATGACTATTCATTGATAATTCCTTATCCTCTTTCCCTACAAAGTATCTCTTCCTACTATTTTAAAGAGCCATTGACAGCATATTTCCTTTGAGAGTAGGCCTAGTTCCCCCATGAGAGTTGATGGTATGCTAGAATATAGCCCCATCCAGGCATGCCAGAAAAAAGAGATTTGAGCCTTGACTCTCCTCCCGTTGTTTTATCCTTTTTGTATTTTTTCTTATTTTAAATTTGTCAAATAGCAAGAAACATGAGCATTCCCATGTACATAGGAGAATAACATGAAAAGATTATATATGAAAACATGAATCTCATACGTAGCATTTTTTAAAAAATAAAGTATTCACTAAATTCCACACATTGGTTCCAAAGCTATCTCTTTTTTCAGTGACACTTTCTGAACTCCTTTCTTATCTCTTCTCTGCATTTTCTTTCAATTCTGTATTGACATTTTTCTTCTTTTTTTTTTGATTGCTATTGTTACCTACCTTTCCCCCAGAATCCTCTTCTGTAACAAGTGAGCATAGTCAAGTAAAACAAATCCATGTGTTGATTGTGCTTGACCCTGCTTTTTAAAGGCTTATACTTATAAGTTTCCTGAAGTAAAGACTGTTAATTTTTTTTGGCAACTTTTTATAGGATTTTTTAAATAATATTTCATACAGAAGCTCATTAAATGGTATCGAATGACTTTTAACTAACAGATGTCTCAGAATTTCTCTAATTTCATAATCATCATTCACAGCCTTGTATCCTTGTTCCATAAGCTAATTTACTTCTTTATAGAATGAATTTTCAAATCAAATGTGATTGGGAAATGTCACAGTATTAATACCCAATTATCTGTGTTTATTGGAAGTTCTTTCCTTCTGCTTAGCTATATGATGGTTGTGATACTGGTCTGTGGGGCAGAGAAACTTCATGAGAAGTAGGGTTGTGCTCCCAACCTGATGGGGTGGAAGGGAGCTCAGCTGTGGAGAGAGGTTTGCTTTTGTTTGCTGAGTGGGGCCTGTTATCCTCATGAAGTAAATCCCTGTATTTGGGAATTAGGACCAGATTTATAGTATGGAGTAGCTTTCTTTAGTTTTTGAGTACTTTGAGAAAAGAAAGAAGCTAAGATGGGTTCATTAGGAACAGGTCATGCCAAACTAACCTCTTTTCTTGTTTTTGATAGAGTTATGAGCTTGTAGGGAATAATCCTAATGTAAACATAGGATTATAGTATTCTAGGTTGAGAACTGGAAGGGACCTTTGAGATCATTTAGTCCAAACCTCTATTTTTGCAGGTGAGGAGATTTTTTTTTAAGGCAATTGGGGTTAAGTGACTTGCCCAGGGTCACACAGCTAGTAAGTGTCAAGTGTTTGGTCTGAGGCCAGATTTGAACTCAGGGCCTCATCAGGGGCCTGTGCTCCTGACATCAGGGCCAGTGCTCTATCCACTGCACCACCTAGCTGGCCCTAAGGTGAGGAGATTTTAAACCAGAGAGTCAAAATAAGTCACAAATTCAGAAAGTGGTGGAGCTAAGATTCAAACTCAGGCTCTCTCATTCTAAATCCAGTCCAATTTCCATTATACTATGTTTCCAACCAGTAGGAAAACAAATAAAACCCTATAAATGGTGCTCCAAGTGCAGTGGAGAGCTCCCAGGTATGAATCCCTGAATGTGATTCCAACTGAGATGCTTTCTCAGGATTTAAATTTTTCTAAACTGGCTGGCCTCACCTAAGGCTTTCCCTTCTAGGATCTTGGGACTTAGGTCATCTTTTTCCTTATGTTTGCTCCAAGCACTGAAAGGTGAGATGACTAAGTACCCCATGAAATGATGTTCCTTATTGGCTGTAGACCCTGACTGCCAGCTTCTTTGATGGTTTTCCTAAATATGAGTCTTGTAAACTATCAACCCCTTTTAGGTGGGACTCCTTTCTGCCTTCTGATTTCATTAATACCTTCATCTGAGGATCTTAGAAGACTTTACAAAGGGTATAGCGCCTGAGCTGAAACCCTTGGGCCTCAGTTTCTTCATCTCTACAATGAGGGGGTTTGACTAGATGATCTCTGTTTCCAAGTATAAATCCTGTGTTGCCTTGGTTTTATGAAGGAGTCATTCCCCTATGTTCATTTCCTCTGGGTCCTCACCATTGCTTGGTATGAATTCTAATACACTATTATTGCAGTAGCCTCTTAACCTATCTTCCTTCATCTACTTTCTTTCCATCTATTCCTCCCTCTGCTGCTGCCATCATCCTCATCCTCATCTTCATCCTCATCCTCATCATCATTTTAAGGTTTCCAAACCACTTTACAAATATCTCATTTGATCCTCAAAACAACTTTGGGAGGTAGGTGCTATTAATAGCTCCATTTTCTCAAATCAGATAACATTTGTAGAAAATGCCTGGCATATAGTAGGCACTGTATAAATGCTTATTCCCTCCCTTCCCATTGTACAGATCAGAAAAATGAGGCAGATAGAAGTTAAGTGACTTACCCAAGGTTACAAACAAATAAGTATCTTAGGTCAGATTCCAACTCAGGAAGATGAGCCTTCCTACCTTCACACTATTCATTGTGCTACCTAGCTGCTTCTAGCCATTTCCAGTTCTTTCTTAGGCCTTTATGCTGTGTGAATAATATATGAAGTCACACAACTAGTAAGTATCCAAAGCTGGATTTAAACTTAGTCTTCTTGACCCAAGATCCAGTGCTTTAGTTACTGCATTACCCAGCTGCCCTATGTCATCTTTACATGTGGGGATCTGTCCTTTCTTAGACCCCCCTTCTCAGAAATCTTTAATTACTTTCCTGTTGTCTAGCAGATAAAGTTCAGACTCCTTAGAGGGCTAGAAAATAGCCCTCCACTATCTGGTACCATCCATTCTATCTTCCCAGATTTCTAACATATTTTACTCTTCCATGTAGTCTATGCTCGACCTACTTATATTCCTTGTGCTTTCCTGACCACAAGCTTTTTATAATATTCTTTAGGCCCAGAATCTCCTTCTTTTTCCTTTTGCCTGTTGAATTCCTAACCATACTTTTTTAAAGATGAATTTTTATTGATATCTTTTGTTTTTACATCACCAAAATTTCTCCCTGTATCCTTCTTTTATCCCGTTCCAGAGAACCATCCTATATAAAAGTTAATATGTTTTAAAGGAAAACCAAAGAGATAGAAGAGGGGAAAAAAATCAGCAAAACCAAATAATACATAAAAAAGTCTGAAAATAATGCAATATTCCACATGCGAGGACCTCTCACCTCAGAAAAGGAGTGGGATGGGTTAACCATCCTTTAAAATCCAATTGAGATACCATCTCCAGGAAGCCTTCCCTAATGTCTCTTCTTCAGGCAGTGAGGAATTGGCACCTCTCTAATGCAATCGTCTATTTTTTGTATTATGTTTTTGTATGCAACTTTGTATCATCGTTATTTTTCCTTTACCCATGAGAATGCATCTGGCCTTATCTAAATCTAATATTGATTGCTAAACTCTGCTACTCATGAGTTATCATTTGCATTATGTCTCAAGCCATATTAATTTTTAAAGTATCCAGAACAGTCTGTATACTATGAGAAATGTTGACTTCCTGACCAGTCTGACCATTGGTGCTTTGGCTTCTGCATGACTCCCTTATTTGCGTCTGTGAAGAACAGGAAGCTATTAGAATGACTTAATCACTTTAGCCTCCACACTATCCTTTTGTTTTTTGGGTTGTTTTTTTTTTTAAATAGTAGTAGATAGCAGATAGGTTTGGCAATACTGACATAATTTCACCCTTTCAGTAAAATATTTTATTATCAAAACCGGGATGTCGGGGGAGGTTATGTCAATGGTCGTGCTCCTACAAAGATGAACTTTGGCAGCCCTCTTTCTGAAGAACTTCTTGGGCTGCAGTGACTTTTCATGTAGCATCCTCAACAAAAGGCTTGAACATAAGAGTCGTTTAAGTAGCTTGCCTTAATGAAATATAGTTCATAATTTTTCCACTCTAGATTTCAGTGGCTCAGTGAACTTGAATGGGGGGGCATGAATTACATCTTTATTTTCACCAGCTTGTAACTGAAATTTAGTAGTTTCTTCAATTGTGGATATAAGCAGCAAACCACAGTAGCATTAGGCTTCATTGGCCTGCCAAAGAGGGTCATTTCCTGAGCGAGGGCGCGTGCGGATGCGCGCACACGCACCCACACAGCCACACACACACACACACACACACACACACACACACACACACACACACACGACCCTACTTTAGGGGATTAGAACTCCTATTGGTGGCTAAATTGGAGAGAAAGTATTTGGGAAGAATATCTTGTTTTTTCTTTTTCAAAGTCTGAGGTGTAGGTAATGGGGAGAAAGTTACATTGAATAAGGAAAATATGCCAGTCAATTTGATTTTTTCCTGCCTCTCTGTGAGTAGCAAGTCTTTGGAGATTTTTTTTCTTTGTTCTGAATAATTGTTTTCTCTTTACAGGCAATGATAATTCAAGATACTGTTGACTTAGAAGCCCCTGACTATTTGTCTGAAGAATTCGATGTCCTTCTTTATGCTAAATCAGATTCCCAGTGTTCTGAATGCTTCAGAACAATTTTGCCTATTCACTGCCGGTATCACCAGCCTGAGGAGAAAGAAGAAAGGGCTTTTGTAGTGGTGAAGAACCCAGAATTATTTGTCAGTTGCTACAATGGTAAGTGTTGTTTTTTAAAATGCCCCTGAAGTAAGATGAACAAGTGTCTCATAGGGATAGAGGATGGACCTTTGATCTCTTTAGTATAGGGAACTACTACTCCCTGGTGAGGAAACTCACTCTACCAGTGTAGATTGCACCTTTTTTTGTAGGTTATAATCTTAGAGGGTTGCCTAGAGCACTGAAAAATTAAGTGATTTGCCCAGGGCAATGCAGAAGGTGTGTGTCTGAAGCAGAACTTAAACCCATATCTTCCTAGCCTCAAGGCTGGCTTTCTATTACTCTATTCTACCACCTTTTACGGAGAGTTTTTCATAAAGGTGAATAATACAGTTGACTTTTCGTTTTTCTTTTATTGAGTTTGAGAATCCCTTTTAACTTTGAAGCTGCCTCTCTAATGTGAGTTTAACTGAATGTAGAGTCAGCCAGTACTGATGACTCCACTAAGTACCAGTGGTGTTGGAAAATTTGGCAACAAGTTTATGATCACCACGTGTTTTATTTCACTATATAAGAGTATAAAAGTGGTCAGACAGGGTCATTCTAGTTGTCCATCCAGACTAGTATTCTGGCTTTGAATAGTGAGATCAAGTGATATGCTTTCCTCCTAGACATTGACTTCAGAATGTTAAAGGTGTGTCACCTGAACATTTTCATTAAAAATCCATTATTTATCTATCATCATCCATATATTTAAGCTTTTGGGGGGAAATTATTAATATTTTTAGCCTCTGATACCACTTGGAATTATGAGTTCCATGCCCGTGGAACCCTTCGGATAAAATGGTACTGTCTTACTCTGAATTTATCTCTTTCAGACTTCTGGGGACATCTCCCTAGTTCTAGTAGAGTGGAATTTGGTATACAAGTTCATGTTAAGGGCAGCTAGGCAGTGAAGTGAATAAAGTGCTTGGCCTGGACTTGGGAAGACTTGAGTTCATATCCACCTGCATACACTTACTAGCTGTATGACCCTGGGCAAGTCACTTGATCTCTATTTCAGTTTCTTCAGTTGTAAAATGATGATAATAGTACCTCCCAGGGTTGTTTTGAGCATCAGATGAGATGATATTTATGAAGTGTTTAGCCTGGCACACAGTAGGCACTTAATACTTAAGCTTGTACCTACGTGTTCCTTTCCCTTCCCCCCCCCAGTCTTCATAAATTAGATTGTGAAAATATGGAATAGGCTGCTATGTTAAATCATCATAAAAAACATTGATTAAGTACCCAATGTCTGCAGCATACCATGCTAGATGTTGGGGTTGCAGGAGGATGGTACAAAATTTAGCTAACCCACTGTCTCAGGAGGAAGGCTTATGGTATATAGCAAGGGGGTAAGACACCAAGAGAGATAATCATAATCTGCTGTATTACAGGATAAGTGCGTTCAAGAATAATATGATGAATTGCTTTGTGAACTCTGCGGTGGAAGGTTGCTATTGAAGGTTGAGGTGTGTGTGCAAATCAGGAGCGTTAAATATATACTGGACTGATGTATGCACATAAAATGCCATCAGCAAGCATGCATTACATGCCTACTGTGTGCTAGGCTCTAAAAGATACAAATATAAAGATGAAACAGCAATGAAATGAATCAGCTGATCGAAAAGACCTTTGCTAATTATTTTTACGAGATGCTTGCACATCAGTATCCTCAGATAAAAAGTGTTATTTTCTCCTATCCTAAGTAAAGGCTCTTTCATGTCTCTTTCTTTCCTTAGATTTTCCTTCTCTGAACTGCTGGAAACAGTCTGAGATGGAAGCTCCTTGTTCTATGAGGAATAAACACATTTGTCAGTGGAGCAACATGAAGTATAAATCAGTAAGCTGATTTAAAAAAATGTTTCTTTATTCTTATTGCTACGATGCTTCTGTCACACTTAATGAATTAAAATTCTAGGGCATGACCCAGGGGAGGTGATTAGTTTCTGCCTCTGATATGGAAACCTACCTTTAGATTTGTCAATGTCTCAACCAACTCCCTTCAGTTCTCCCCAAATTCATCTTTTCTTTCTTCCAAAATAACTTTTTTTATTTAGTATTTTATCTTTGCCCAATTACATATAAAAACAATTTTTAACATTCATTTTTAAAACTTTGAGTTCTAAATTCTCTCCCTTCATCTGTCCCCACCCTACTTCATTGAGAAGGCAAGCAATTCAATATAGATTATATATGTGTAGTCATGCAAAACATATCCATAGTAGTCATGTTATGAAAGAAAACATAGACAACAAAAACCTCAAGAAAAATAAAGTAAAAAAAAAAGTATGCTTTAATGTGTATTCAGACACCATCTGTTCTTTCTCTGGGGATGGATAGCATTTTTCATCATAAGTCCTTCAGAGTTGCCTTGTATTGTTTTATTTCTGAGAATCATCTTACAATATTGTTGTTACCTTGTACACAGTACATTTCACTTTGCATCAACCCATGCAAGTCTTTCCAGATTTTTCTGAGAGCATACTGTGCATCATTTCTTATAGTACAATGGTATTCCATCATAATCACATACCACAGCATGTTCATCTTTTCTCCAATTGATGGGCTTCCCCTCAACTTCCAGTTCTTTACCCCCAGAAAAGAACTGCTGTAAATATTTTTTACATATAGGTCCTTTTCCTTTTTGTTTTTTATCTCTTTTGGGATACAGACCTAGCAGTGGTATTGTTAGGTCAAAGGGTATTCGTGGTTTTATAGCCCTTTAGGGATAATTCCAAATTGTCCTAGAGAATTGTTGAATCAGTTCACAACTCCACCAGTAGTGCACTAAAACTTCATTTTTCCCAAATCCCTTCCAACATTTGTCATTTACCTTTGTTGTCCTATTATCTGATCTCATAGGTTTGAGATAGTACCTCAGAATTGTTTTAATTTGCATTTCTCCAATCAATAGTGAGTTAGAGTATTTTTTCATATAGATGTAGATAACTTTGATTACTTCATCTGAAAACTGATTATATCTTTTGGTCATTTATCAATTGGAGAATGGCTCTTATTTTCATAAATTTGACTCAGTTTTCTATATGTTTGAGAAATGAGGCCTTTATCAGAGAAACCTGCCTCAAAAATTTTTTTACAGTTACTATTGCTAACTGTATTTCCCTTCATCTGATTTCCCTGCCCCCTCCATTTATTCTCTTCTCTCTCTTCTTTTACCCTGTCCCTCAAAAGTAGTTTGCTTCTGACTAGCGCCTTTCCCAGTCTGCCCTCCCTTTTTATCACCCCCTCCTCTTCCCCTTCTACTTTCCTGTAGCGTAAGAGATTTCTATACCCAATTGAGTGTGTATGTTATTTCCTCTTTGAACCAATTCTGGTGAGAGTAAGGTTCACTCACTTCCCGTCACCCCCCAACCCCCACTCCTTCCCCTCCACTGTAAAAGCTTTTTCTTGCCTCTTTTATTGGAGATAATTTATCCCATTCTACCTCTCCCTTTCTCTTTCTCCTAGTACGTTCCTCTCTCAGCCCTTAATTTTATTTTTTACATATCATCCTTTCATATTCAACTCACACCTGTGCCCTCTGTCTATATATACTCCTTCTAACTACTCTAATAATGAGAAAGGTCTTATGAGTTACAAATATCATCTTCCCATGTAGAAATGTAAATCGTTTAAAATTATTAAGTCCCTTATGATTTCCTTTTCCTGTTTACCTTTTTATGCTTCTCTTGAGTCTGGTATTTGAAAGTCAAATTTTCTATTCAACTCTGGTCTTTTCATGTAGAATGCTTGAAAGTCCTCTGTCTCATTGATTGTGAATTTTTTCCCCTGAAGGATTATGCTCAGTTTTGCTGGGAAGATGATTCTTGGTTGTAATCCTAGCTCCTTTGCCCTCTGGAATATGATATTCCAAGCTCTCTAATTCTTTTATGTAGAAGCTACTAAATCTTGTGTTATTGTCACTGTGGTTCCACAATACTTAAATTGTTTCTTTCTGGCTGTTTGCAATATTTTCTCCTTAACCTGGGAACTCTGGAATTTAGCTATAATATTCCTGGGAGTTTTCATTTTGGGATCTCTTTTAGGAGATGATTGGTGGATTCTTTCAATTTCTGTTTTACCCTCTGGTTCTAGAATATCAGGGCAGTTTTCCTTGATAATTTCTTGAAAGATGATGTCTAGGCTCTTTTTTTGATCATGGCTTTCAGGTGGTCCAATAATTTTGAAATTATCTGTCCTGTATCTATTTTCCAGGTCAGTTGCTTTTCCTGTGAGATATTTCACATTGTTTTCTATTTTTCTATTCTTTTGATTTGTTTTATTGTTTCCTGATTTCTCATAAAGTCATTATTAGCTTCCATTTTCTCCATTCTAATTTTTAATGAATTATTTTCTTCATTGAGTTTTTAGACTTCCTTTTCCATTTGGCCAATTCTACTTTTTAAGGCATTCTTCTTCTCATTGCCTTTTTTGATCTCTTTTACCATTTGGCCTAGTCTGTTTTTTAAGGTGTTATTTTTGTCAGTATTTTTTTGTGTCTCCTTTACCAAGCTGTTGATTCATTTTTCATGATTTTCTTGTATCACTCTCATTTTTCTTCTCAAATTTTCCTCTATCTCTCTTTCTTGATTTTCAAAATCCTTTTTGAGCTCTTCCATTGCCTGAGACCAATTCATATTTTTCTTGGAGGTTCTGGACAGCAGGAGCTTTGACTTCTTCTAAGTATGTGTTTTGGTCTTCCTTGTTACCATAGTAACTTTCAGTAGTCAGAATTTTTTCCATTATTTGCTCATTTTTCCAGCCTGTTAGTTGGCTTTTAACTAATTGTTAAAGCAGAGCTCTGCTTCCAGGGTAGAGGGTGCACTGTCTCAATCTTCAGGGGTTTTGTGCAGCTGTTTTCAGAGATATTCTAGGGACCTGTAAGTTTTTAGTTCTTCTGAGGTGGTATGATCTAAGCACAGGTGTTTACTACTCTCCTGGCCTGTGCTCTATGAGTGATGACAAGCACTCTTTTTTGCCCTGGAACTTTGAGGAGGGTCCCCCTTCCACTGTTGCTGCAAGCCCTGCTATGCTTGTGCTCCTCCTTGCCCTGGAACTGCCACCCAGGACTGCAGCGTGGATCCAGGTGTGGGCAGAGCAACAGTCCTGCCTCAGTGCTAGCAAAAAGACCCTTGTAATCTCCTTCTGGCTAGTTGTTCGACCCCCTTACTCATCTGTGGGCTGAGAGGTCTGGAAACTGCCACTGCTGCCACTGATTCAGTCACCCCAAGGCCTGCTCCTAGTTTACTGGAGTCTGGTTTGCACTGGCACAGCTTGTGCTCCACTCTCTCCTTGTAGCAACAGACCTTTCCTTTTAACCTTCCAAGTTGTCTTGGGCTGGAAATTTGTTTCACTCCATCTTTTTGTGGGTTCTGCTGCTCTAGAATTTGTTTAGAGTCATTTTTTAAAAGGTATTTGGAGGAGTTTGGAAAAGAGCTCAGGCAAGGCCCTACCTTTACTCTGGCCATCTTGGCTCCAGTTCCCCTTGCTCTCAGGATAACTAACTTCTGCACAGATCCTAGATGTTGATTTTTCTTCCGTTCTCTGTCTGCTTAGTTCTTTCTTCTGAGCTTTTTAATTTGACATGTTTGTCTAGCTCTTTGTTGTTGTTTGGTCATGTCTCACACTTCATGACCCCATTTGGGGTTTTTCTTGGTAAAGGTACTGGAGTGGTTTGCCATTTCCTTCTCCAGCTCATTTTATAGATGAGAAAACTGAGGCAAACGGAGTTAAGTTACTTGCCCAGGGTCACAAACTAGTAAGTGTCTTAGGTCACATTTGAACTCAGGAAGATGAGCCTTCCTAACTTCAGGCCCAGTGTGCTATTCATTGTGCCATCTAGCTGCTCCTAGCTATTTCCAATTCATTCTTAGGCCTTTATGCTGTGTAAATAATATATAAAACCATTTTTCATTGGAATCAAATAGGTTTAAACATATTTACAACCTATCCTTCAAATAACATAAATGTGTTAGACAAACACAAAGTGGATTTATTATTATTATACTATTATAAATGGCTGAGTAGATAGAGCCCTGGACCAAGAATTAGACAGAACTTTTAAATCCAGCCTCAGACATTTATTAGCTGTGTGACCCAGAGCAAGTCACTTAACCCCTATTTGCCTCAGTTCCTCATCTGTAAAATGGGGACACATTAGATAAGGAAATGGCAAATCACTCTAGTATCTCTGCCAAGAAAATTCCATGGAATCATGAAGAGTCAGAAAAACAACTGAACGACAACAACAATCATTGCTGGTTGGAAGTCTGTCCTACTAACTTGGTTGATAGATAGCTACATGACATGGAGATGTGTTTAATATACATGAGACTGTTTTGTTGTGGAGTGCCTTTTCAGAGCTAGAAAGTTATTTTCATTTGGGAAAGCATGCTAATATTTCACAGAACTCATACTTGTTATCAGATGAATTGTTATTGGCCTATAGGTGACTGCATTTTTCTAACACTACAATATTGCTGGGAAGTTACCTTTGATTTGTAAGGCCATAGGAAGTGGGATGTTAATATATAACTTAATGATAGGGTAAGTTAGGTGGTGGAAAAGTTCTGTGAGATAACTTCACCATTTTAAAATAAGGTAAAACTGGTCCCTAATGCCATATATTTTTTTTTTTTTGCATTTTGGTGAGGCAGTTGGGTTAAGTGACTTGCCCAAGGTCACATAGCTAGTAAGGGTCAAGTGTCTGAGGCTGGATTTGAACTCCGATCCTCCTGACCCCAAGGCTGGAGCTCTAACCACTGTGCCATCTAGCTGCCCTGTCATATGCTTTTAAGGAATTGTTTTCTTCAGTGGGTATTTATACCTCCTTTTCCATTTGGCCAATTTTACTTTTTAAGGAGTTGTTTTCTTTTTCCAAGCTGTTGACTCTTTTTTCATGATTTTCTTGCACAGCTCTCTTTTCTCTTCCCAGTTTTTCTTCTGCCTCTCTAAATAAGAGATCAAATAGATTTTTAAAATCTTTTTTGAACTCTTCTGGGCAGACTTTTTGGGCCTGAAACCCATTCATATTTCTCTTTGAGGCTTCTTTGAATGTAGACATTTTGACATTGTTGTTCTCTTCTTAGTGTGTGTTTTGATCTTTCCTGTTGCCATAGTAGCTTTCTGTGGTGAGGGCTTTTTTCATTTTTTTCTCATTTTCAACTTATTTTGTAACTTTCAAAGTTGAGCTCTACTCCTGAGACACTGGGGGCGCTGTCCAAGCTTCTTGTGCTGGAGGTTAGGGGGCTGCTCACTGGCTTGCTGTGCCATTGCCCTGGGACTGGCTCATCTGCTGGGCTGGAGTTGCCAGGCCAAGTCTAGCAGCTGTGCCGGGGCCTCCAGACCTGTCAGACCAGACCACTCCCCTGCTTCATGGAGGCTGGAGAACTCACTGCTGGCCTGCTGTGCTGGGGTGGAGGGGCCTTGGTTGCTGATCTGTGCTGGGGCTAGGAATCTCCCACCGGTTTGCCCAGATACCTGCTGCACTGGGCTGCACTCCCAAGCGAGACTGACCTTTCCTGCAGGCCTTCTAAGTTATCTTGGGCGGGAAAATTGTTTCACTGCATCCTTTTGTGGGTTCTCTCGCTGTAGAGTTATTTTTGAGGTGTGATTTAAAGTCATTTAGAGGGAAATTGGGGAGAGCTCAGGCAACTTCCTCCCGTTTTTCTGCCATCTTGGACTCTGCCTCCCTCCTTAATACCTTCGATGAAATTTGAAATCAGGCTATTAGTACACATTGCTTTACTTTGCTTTTCTTTTTTAAAAAAAATTTATTTTCTGTTTTCAACACTCACTTCCATAAGATTTTGAGTTTTAAATTTTCTCCCCCTCCCTCACCTCCCCACTCCCCAAGATGGTATGCAATCTGATACAGGCTGTACTTATACATTCATATTAAGCATATTTTCACGATAGTCTTGATGTAAAAAAGAATTAAAATTAATGGGAAGAACCATGAGAAAGAAGAAACAAAACAAAACAACCAAAGAAAAGGAGAGCAAATAGTATGCTTCCATCTGCATTCATACTCCATAGTTCTTTCTTTGGATGTGGATAGCATTTTCCAACATGAGACCTTTGGAGATGTCTTAGATCCTTGCATTACTGAGAAGGCCTAAGTCTATCAAAATCAGTCATCGCACAATGTGGCTGCTACTGTGTTCATTGTTTTAGTTTGGATGATGTCTTTTTTTTTTTTTTGCTTTGCTTTCTGGTGAGGCAATTAGGGTTAAGTGATTTGTCCAGAGTCACACAGCTAGTAAGCGTCAGGTGTCTGAGGTCACATTTGAACTCAGATCCTTCTGGCTCTAAGGCTGGAGCTCTATCCACTGTGCCACCTAGTTGCCCCAGATGTCTTCTTTTTTAAAATCACAATGAAAATAAATGGCTTTACTAAGATAGTGATAACCTGTGAGTTTTTAAAAGATATCACTGATTTTAACACTGAAAGAGAATAAATTAATAGATTTAAAATTGTAAGAGGCCTTAGACATCATTTAGTCTAACACATTTTACATAAATGAGGAATCTGATCTAGAGAGTTTAAGTGATTCCTCTAAGGTCATGCAGGTGGTAAAGTTAATTGTAATGGATTAGGTGAATACTAAATTTGTATGAGCTTTTATGGTGGCATAAATTTAGAAACCAAATATTTGGTTAATTTTAAAAGAAAGTAAACTGTTTCTAATTTACCTGTCAGATTTTTAAGGTTGCCCATTTCCATAAGACTGCTGTAGGGGCAGCTAGGTGGCACAGTGGATAGAGCACCGGCCCTGGATTCAGGAGGACCTGGGTTCAAATCTGGCCTCAGACACATAACTTACTAGCTGTATGACCCTGGGCAAGTCACTTAACCCCATTGCCCACCCCCCCAAAAAAAAAGACTGTTGTAACTAAATTGACAATGGGAAATTAGCTACAGTATATGGGCAGTGCTTCTGTTGAGCTTTGAAAATCAGTTTAGTTGCAAAAGACAACACCATAGCTCTTTGGCTCTTGCTGTAATAATTCAGTTGTGACAGTTCTTGAGTAACAGATTTTTCAAGTCATTTGGGGAAGAAAGCAGTGAAATAGAAGAATGATGAGAGATTTTGTAGTTTGGATGTTCACTTGCTACTTTTATTCTTTCAGTATTTTCTAACATATACTTTGATTTTATTTTATTTTTTTTCTTATTTGCATGTAAACAAAAAACTTTAACAATTTTTTTTAAAATTTTGAGTTCTGTATTCTCTACCTCCTCTCTCCCCTCCTTGAGATGGCAAGCAATTTGATACATATTAAACATGTACAGTCATGCAAAACATTTCCACATTCGCCATCTAACATAGATTTTCTGATGTGATTCTTGTAAAGGAGAAATAGATCTTTTTAGAGAGTTATGTTACTTATATAGGCCATGTAAAGCCACTCAGACAAATTGAATTTTATAAATATATTGATATTGCTTAAGGTAAATAGGGTAACTGTATTGAGATCTTGTCAGGATTTGTTAGTCCTCAACCTTAGTTGTGAGGTTTAAAGAAAGCCTCTATAAATGTGACTTAGTGGGGTTGGGAGCAGGAAATAAAACATTGTGTCATAGAATAAGTTGTTCATTGAAAGAGCCTGTATTAAATAGCACTTTAAAAATCCAGTGTGGTAATTATTGGCTGAAAGAGACTCACCAGAAAAAAAACAAAAAACCTGATATTCCCCACCCCCCAAAAAACTGAGTGATTAAAGTAATTGTAAACTCCCTTTTGAATGTGTGTTTATGGTGCTCCTCTAATTTTAAATTTAACTTATCCGCCTTCTCTCCATAGGTAAATCAGAATGTGATGCTACAAGTTCCAGTGGGGCTAAGAGTACATTGTCACCTCGTATGTGTCATGACGCTGTTTATTACAGTCTTGTGTTCTGGTCTTATTCTTAGAGCAGTCTTCAAACATGGTCATTTCTCCCTGTGAGAATGTAATGTAATGATTTGTGGTATTCTAGAATTATGGCATTCCTTTTAATTGACAGTAGTGGTTTGGTGAAACCAATTTAATAAAAAATATACAATGGTGTTTTAAAAATAATTTCGCCTAATGTTTACTTAATACAGAAATTTAATGCTGAATTTGTGCTTGGTAATTCCTCAGGCATCAAGTGCCAGTATAAACAATTTAATTCTGCTAAATGGATAAATTGTTTTTCAAAGAATAGGGTCAGCTACAAGATTGCAAGCCCTTTGAAGGTAAAGAATCATGTCCAATTTATCTTCGTATTTTCCTCACAGCCTAATGCAGCTCTTTGCTCACAGTATAATTGTTAATTGAATTGGAAGAGAAGAATGAGTTCTATATGCAGAGAAATTAATTTCTTATATTTTTTGGTCATTATTAACTAACAAATGTTTTGAAAATCAGGGAAAGCATTACAGATGAGGGCACATTATTTCTAATCAGACATTTGATTGAGGATTAATTTTTTTTGAAAAATGTTAAAAAACATCCAGAGCTTTAGGGAGAAGCAAAAATTAACAAAAGAGATTATTACTAATATCAAAACTTAGCATACTCATTGCATTCTATTTCTATCTTATGCTGCTTCTGGATTTATATACCTCTGTCAGTGGTGGGGAAGGAAAATAATGAAGCTACTTAATAAGCTTTAGTGTAAGAAAATTGTGAGGGAACTCAGCTCAATTTGCTCCTTAAAGAAGCTCTTTTTATAAAATCAATGCTTTTTCTGAAATCTTGTGTGTCTCATAAGATTATTTACAGATTAATTTTTAAAAATGGAACACTAGTCGCTGCTGTATTTGGTTAAAAAAAATAAGAAGAATAGCACTAGGTATACTTCAAAATAACACTGTGAAGTAATTGTGCTGCTAACCAATAAATCAGGGTATATTATTTTTAAAAATATATTTTTATTTATTGTGTTAAATATTTCCCAATTACTTATAAAAGTTGTTTAACATTCATTTTTTAATAATTTTGAGTTTCAAATTCTCTCCCTCCTACCTTTCACCCACTCTTTGAGAAGGCAAGAATATGGTATCAGTAATACATGTAAAGTCATGCAAAACATTTTCATATTGGCTGTGTTGAAAAAGAAGACACACAAAATCCCCAAGAAAAATTAAGTAAAAAATGCTTCAATCTTCATTTAGAGTTCATTGGTTTTCTCTCTCTCGGGGTGGATAGCATTTTTCATCATGTGTCCTTTGGAATTGTTTTGGGATTTGGAATCATTGTCTTGATTAGAGTAGCCAGGTCTTTAACAGTTAATCATCATTACAATATTGCTATTACTATGTGCAGTGTTCTCCTGGTTCACTCATTTCACTTTGCATCAGTTCCTATAAGTCTTCCCAGGTTTTTCAATCAGGATATATTATAACTATGTTTTTTAGTAGAGTAAATACAATGTGATATATGTGTGTGGTATATATATAGAAATGTAATATCAGGAGAATTCCTGATTTGCCAATCTGTTCCTCATAATGAAACTAATTAATTAAGCTTCTACTTGATTACTGGCCTGTTGTTTCTGGCCCCGCTGTTTTATCATTCTCAGGTTAGAGACTGGCTCAGTAAAAATCCTGTTACTATCAGTAAATATCTTATTGTATGAAGAATCTAATATAGTACTGTAGGTTGTATAGTAGTGTTTATCACAAAAAAAGAAGCAGCTAGTTAGTTGTATTGTAGAAGCCATCCCAAAATATGGCTTCCTACCCTTTTCCGAAGGTAAATACCTTCAAAGAGCATTTAGTTAGTAAATACCTTCAAAGAGCAGCTAGTTAGTTGTATTGTAGAAGCCGTTCTAAAATATGGCTTCCTACCCTTTTCTGAAGGTAAATACCTTCAAAAAACATTTATATCTCTCAGAGGCTTTATAGGTGGGTCCAGAACCTTATCCTGTTCAGAATCAGGCTACCACACCATTTCTAAACCACTTCTGGCATGTCTTCTCTTCCATCCCAATTTCTAGTTCAAAGATAGATAGATAGATGATAGGTAGATAGATATACATGTACACATCAATCTATCTCTCTGTCTGTCTTTCTATCTGCCTATCTCATTTTCTGCCACTGGAATGTAAGCTTTTTGAGGGTAGGGATTGGTTTGCTTGTATTTGTATCTCCAGTGCTAAGCACGGTGCCTGGCCTATAGTAAGTGCTTAATCAATATTTTTTCTTTTCAGTACTATGCAGAGATAAGACTGAGGTTTCTGCCTTTGACGTGATAATTGAAAAGACAATATTTGTGTGAGCAAGTTAAATTTTTTAATCTGTTTGTGTTCTGATGGGTTTAATGTTAAAAAGTTATCAAAATGGGAGCAGCTAGGTGGTGCAGTGGATAGAGCACCAGCCCTGGAGTCAGGAGGACCTGAGTTCAAATCCATTCTCAGACCAGACCCTTACTAGCAGTGTGACCCTGGTCAAGTCACTTAACCCCATTGCCTAGCCCCCCCCCAAAAAAAAACCAACAACAACAACAAAGTTATCAAAGCACAAAGTTGTCATACAGTTGTGTGGCTTTGTAGATTGCTTGCTTCTAGAAGTACAGCTTGTCTCCTGGAATGATTTTACAAGTAGAATCAAAGAACTCATTGAGCTGGAAGGGATTTTAAAGATTACCTAGTCCAGTTATTATACCTCATTTTATAGATGTGGAAAGTATAGTAAGATGGGAAGTGACTTATCTGAGGTTACATGATCACAGAATGTTACCGGCTGGATGGGACCTTAATTGATAAATCTCTTTCCATTTCCTTATTGGACAGATAAGGATATTGAAGCGGAGGCAGTAAGTGACTTGCCCAGTATCACATAGATAGTATTAAAGGCAGGACTAGAACATAATTTCAGCTTAGCATTGAATCTCCCAGTTCATTCTTTCTACCATATCATGTTAACTTCTACAAAACTGAATGCCACTAATCTTTTGTCTACACATCCTGGATCTGTCTCTGAAAAGCATCCAAATATACCACAGACCTAGTTCACTGCATCCTGATTCTTCTGTTCCTTTCATTTCACTGCTCCAGGCAGAGTAAGGAATGGGTTGAGAACAGGGAGCTAAAAACAGTTAAGTGATCCTTATACTTGACTTCTGTGTAAAAGGGAGATCAGACAAGGTGGATCCAAATTTTGAAGTAGATGAAATTTGTTTTTAGAAGTTTCCTGCTTCCTTTTTGTGGGGCAACTAGGTGTCGAAGTGGATTGAGTACTAGGCCTGAAGTCAGGAAGACTCTTATTATGAGTTCAAATCCAGTCTGACACCAGCTGTGTGACCCTGGGCAAGCCTCTTTAGTGTCTTTGCCAAGGAAACCTCAAATGGGGTCACAAAGAGTTGGACACCACTAAGCAACAAAAAAACTTCGTTTTTATACTGCTATGTAGTACAATATTGATTATATAGGTTATGGGGAAACTGAGACCTGACTAAAAAATTATATGTGGATGTGTGTATATATATATATATATATATATATATATATATATATATATACACACACACACACACACACACATATATGTAAATATATATGTATATATATATGTAAATATATATATGTGTATATATATATATATATAAAATTTTTTTAAAATTTCCCAGTTATATGTAAAAAAGTTAACATTCATTTTTTGAAATTTTGAGTTACAAATTCCCTCCCAGACTTTGAGAAGGCAATCAATATATTGATTATACATGTGAAATCATGCAAAATATTTCCCTATTAGTCATGTTGCAAAAGAAAACATATAACAAAAAGGAAGAAAAATAAAAAAAGTATGCTTCAAAATGCACTCAGAATTTGTCAGTTCTTTCTGGGGGTCGATAGCATTTTTCATCATGGGTCCTTTGGAACTGTCTTAAATCCTTGTCTACATCACAGTGTCTAAGTCTTTCACAGTTGATCATTGTTATAATATTGCTGTTACTGTACACAATGTTATCTTGGTTCTGCTCACTTTACTTTGCATCAGTTCATATAAATAGAATGATTTTTTTGAATGCATGAATAAAGCATTTATTAAGTGCTTACTATGTGAAAGCATTGTGTTTTGGAAGTCAAGATCTGGTGGGTGAAACACCTAAATGGATTTGGGAGGTGGCATATCCCTTGAGAGGACTCTCAGAATAGAAGTGGTAAGCCTTTCCCAAGCATAAAAAAAAAATTAGCATTGAAGTGTGCTTAGGATATGTGTATATCCCAGTTGGTTGGTGAACTGCCCCGAATTGAGCAAAACTGGCGTAGGCCCCTTCGGAGACAGGGGATTGGACTAGATGAAAGACTGCATGGCCTTTCTGGACTCAACCAGCAGCCACCCGGGAACTACAACTCCCAGCAGCCTCTTCGTCCCTTGGCGGACGGGGGCCAATCGGGTTTGAGGGCTTGGTCTGGCCCGGGAGAGGCGCCGGCGTCCGCTCGGCGCAGCCTGCGGGCGCTGCAGTTGTTGACACCGCCTCCTCTGAGCTCCCCTGTCCTCCCTCCCTCCTCTAGGGTTGTGGCCACGCGCAGCAGCAGCGGCGGCGGCGGCGGCGGTTGTTCCGCTTCCCCTCAGGCCCCGGCGGTCGCCATTGCCGAAGGCTGCCTCCTCTGCCCTGCCTGCACTGGGGCGCTCGGGGCGGCCGCACGGCCTAGTAGCGAGGGCGGCCGCAGCAGCGCCCCGGGCAGGGGGCCTCGAGTTGTCGCGGCCGGCTCCCAGTCCCCCCGACCCTGCCCTCCCTGGCCGCGCCCTCCCGGGGCGGCTCCGGAGCCAACCAGCCAGGCGGGGAGCGCGGGGCTTGCGTCCGGGCGGTCGCGGGAGGAGACGCTGACCCAGGCGCCTCGCAGGGGCGGGGACGCTTCCTTCCGTGGCCGCGGGTAAGTGAGGCCGGGCCCGAGGTGGGCGCCCCCGCCCCGCCGCCGCCACCTGTGTGCCGGGGCGGCGGCTGCTTATTGTTTGTTCCCCGGGGCAGGCTTCTTCCCCTTCGTACCCTTGGGGGAGGGAGGACCAAGAAGTTGGCTGGGGGATCGCCCTGCCCCTGAACTGCTCCGGGGCTCTGCCCCTCTCCTCTCTCCCTCCGCCCTCCCACGC